TACTCCCAAACATCCTCCCAGTCATTTAGATCAACAGTCTAGGTATCCAACTTTGCTCTCACCAGGCCCAAAACGCCGATCATTTCTAAATCTTGCCACCTCTCTTGTACATAGTCTTTAAAAGCATTTTTTCTTCTCATTTTCCATGCAGGGAAGGCTCTTCAAGGCCCCATTGCCGTCTTCAATGAAACTTCCCCTTGCTCTCCAGACTGGTGAAGTCATGATACTGACCAGTTGACACTCGTGCTCACAAGGCTTAAAAATCCCAGAGGGCTTAGGTGCTTTTCCCAGGGACTCAATTTGTCTGGCAGCAGTTTTAGAGCTGGGTCACTTCTGCCTTGTCTTATCAAAGCTGCGGACCGCCCATTCACAAGGGCAGCTGCTGATCGCACAAAATCAGAAACTGGGTTTGTACAGGATCCTCACTCTGGCAGGCATGGAGCCTCCTACACACTAATGAGCAGAGCAGTAAGCAGAGCGCAGTTGCTCTGAGGTAAGTAGCTCGGTAGTAGGACTTCCATGAGAAGGTTTTTCTGGGAGCTAGTGACTTTGGATGCCTGACCGGTGCTTGAGTGTTTGCCTACCTGCTTGGTATGTGGTTTTTCTGTGGTGTTTCCCCCTGCCCCCCAGACTGACTGATTGACAGGGCTTGCTCTGTGTGGGGCTGGTTTAGCTAACTGAGGCATAGAGACAGGCTAGACAGCGTTATAAAAAGCCAGCCCCCAGAGAAGAGGAAACGGGTAACAGAAGGCAGCAAACAGAGGAGTTTGCCTGTGAAGTCTCCTGTAAGACAGAGCCAGGGAGCAGGAGATTATGTGCTATGTGCGAGTGTGTACACCAGTCCAAGTGTGGGTGTTTAGTGTGTAGGATTTTGTGGTGTGGTTTTGTTTGTTTTGTCTACAGCTTAGGTGTCCTTCAGGAAGCAAAGGAGGCAAAGTGAGGATGGGTCAGCAGTTGTGACCTACACGGGTTATGTCATGTAACGTTTCTTCCCAGAATGTCCTTCATCTGCACTAAGTGTAAGCTGGTATCTGCCCTGGAGGAAAGAGACTCAAAAGGCCTCAGGCAATGGGTTGGACTAATGATCTCTGGAGGCCCCTTCCAGTCCTACTTTTCTACGATTCTCCAGTTCTATGATACTGTTCAACTTATTCCTCCTATGTAGGTATGACTGTTTTCAAAATTCATAACATCTCTCATTTGCCCACCAGCATTACTAAGCCATTCCAACAGCGTGGCTAGGACCTGGAACCAACTTCCAAGTGAAGTGGTGCTGGCTCCTACCCTGGGGGTCTTTAAAAGGAGGCTGGACGAACATCTGGCCAGGGTCGTTTGACCCCAGTACTCTTTCCTGCCACGGCAGGGGGTCAGACTAGATGATCTCCTCAGGTCCCTTCTGACCCTACCAACTATGAAACAGACACCACCCCCCACACCCCTTCAGATGACTACCATTTCTAGAATAACCATAACAGTAGGATTTAACTCCTCAAAATTTTCAAGTTTGTGGATCATATTTGCCACTCAATCTGTGATTCAAGAAATACACTGTGGCCAGTACCCTTTCACAGATTCACACAGGTTGAGTCAACCAACCATTTAAAAAAAAACATGCTGAGAATTCAAACAAAATAACTAACCTGAGACAGATCAGTGAAATGGTTTGCTTCAGCCATCACCTTTACCCGGAAATTCGTGCCATCATCAGGACTGAGAGCATAACAGAAAACCTTAGGGACAGAGCATCTCAAGTTAGCGTAACAACTTAAACTAGTGACTGAAATTTCACCATTAATACTGCTGAATTACAATATAAGTGATGGTCATCCACAGACTAATTTGGAATGAGATTAAATTTTATTGTACATGAAGTCAGAATTACCCTCATGCCCAGGTACTGGCTTTGAAAGCCCTAAATAAGTATTCTAGGAAAAATATGAATAAGCACCACAGACTTTGCTGGTATGACAACTGCATTACTGGGCTCGGTTCTGGATTAACAGTATACTTAGTCCCAAATCATCCAACCAAACAGAGTGGTTAGAGGCTGGAGGGACAAATCTGCTGGGTACAAGCAAAACAGTAATAGCGTATGCAAACTACAAGTCCTTAGTAAATTCAGTACTTCCTAACCATGGATTCAAACACAGCCAACGTATACAAGTCCGATTAGATGGAAGGCAAGGAACACATTTCAGTAAGAACTAGTGGATTCAACGTCTATATAAAGAATTAAATTTTCTTTGGTGGGTTTTGGAATACAGTCACTCTAGAACAGGTTATAATCCCTTCCTGCCAACGTGGATATTTTCTGACTCCCTGCCATTAAGAATAATCCTAACATTTTGTGAGAACAAAGTGATTATTTTCAAATGTAGCAACTTATAAACTGTTTAAGCAAGCAGCTTCTGTCAGGAAGGTATACAGCAGTCACATTGGGGTCTGAAATTTTTCATCATGGGCTAAATTGGAAGGTGTAATAGCTTCTGCACTTCTACATCAAGAAGGAAGTGTGAGTTACAAGTACTACTAGGACTCAATAAAAGAAAAGGGATGTGTGGAATAAGCATTCAGAAGATGCAAAAAGGTATGAATCAGGGGTTGACAACGTTTTTGGGCAGAGTGCCAAAAAAACCCACAACCTCGACTTACAAGATATTAGCATGCCAGGGGCAGATGGCATGGGAGCTGCAATCCTTGCAGCAGCAGCATAGCCCCGCCCCCTCACCACTGTCCTCCCTGAGGCACATGCCAAGCAAAATGCCTTTCTGTGCCATGCTCAGGCACCCATGCCAGGAGTTGCCTACCCCAGTATAGACTGAAATAACTGACAAGTTGCACTGATAGTGTTTTGGACAAAAGAGAATATTATGATTTAAGGGAAATGTCAGGCAATTTTGACTGATCTAGTATATTAAGTATTTGAGAACCAAAAACCCCCAAACAAAACAAAAAACAAAACCAAACCAAAAAAATCAAACTACTTTAGATGAAGGGCTTAAAAAAAAAATTAGGGGACTAATCAATTCTGAAGAGTGGGTAAGGCAAGGGTGTCAAACTCACCCCAGGCCGAATCCAAACTACAGAGGCTCCTCTCAGGCCAGATCTGTGAAGCTGCATTCAAGCAGGGTCGCATGGCTACAGAGCTGTATTCATGCAGCACAGAGCCAGAGGCACATGTCAGAGAAGAACCAAGGGCATGTGACAGTACAGAGCTCTGGCTGGGCAGCAGAACAAAGTCTGGGGTGGGCAGATGCACAGAGCCATGCTTGGGCAGTGGCATACAGCAGTATAGACATGGGCATGCCTAAAAGCAGTGGCTGCTTCAACGCAGATCCACACTGCTGCCCAACTAAAGCTCTGCACCGCTGCATGCCCCTGGCACTGCTGCCTGGCCAAACTTCCATGCTATCACCCAAACACAGCTCTGTGCAGCTGCCCAGGACTGATGGCACACAGCTATACAGAGTTGTGTTCAGTAGGGAGCTACCACCAATAGTCATGTCTACTGGGGTCCAGGGACCCCCAATTCTGTTTCACTGCACTCCCAATGGCCCATAAGCCAAGTATTTGACACCCCTGGGTTTAAGGTATTTCTTCAGTCCCAGATTAACTCTGGAACAGGATAAGGAACAGATTCACATTTAACACTTAGCTGCTGTATCAAGTATCAATATTTCCTTCATTCTGCTTTGTTCTTAGTGTTACCGCAAAACTATCATGATCCCAGAAAACTACATATTTTAGAGCAATTACAGAAATTTTTTTGCAAAAATCTTGGTCTAATAAAAGATATCACTTCTACCATGAGCTTAGACCACATTTCGACTCACAGGCCACTTAACCAGTTTTGGTGAACAGTTGAGGGTCTCACACAAAATCATCCAGAAATTATGATTTTAACAAGTTATAGATAAAAAAATATATATACACATTAAAAAACAAAAGAAAAAACCCCCAGGCATCTATATAACATTTTCATTTTATGTAAAAAAAAAGAATAGCTGTCCTGATTTATATTTCTGCATGTAGAGGCAACTGCATAATAGCTCAAAATAAAAAGTCTTGG